TTGATAATATAAACTTTAAGGTTTAAAACCATCAAACGATTAAACTTTATATATATATATATATATATATAATTAAAAAGAAAAAGAAAATAAAAATATATATATATATATATATGTATGGATGAGGCGATGAATTTCACCGTCTCAGTTTCTGTTTTCTTTTTCTTTCTTTTCTCAATTTCTCTCTCTTTAGATATTTCATCTTCTCTTCAAATTTCACATCAAGTTACTAAGGGCATCGAGGCAAAAATTATATATTCGGAATCCACTCTATGAACCCTTCTTAAAAAGTATAAGTTTCATTCAATTTCATTAAGGTGTTTATTGTAGGGTTATTTAGACCGGTTTATAAACTGTGTTTMTATCTAAGTTTACAGATTGATTTTGTCAAAATCATGATATATTTGATGTTTAGGATGCTAGGACTGGTTATATTGATGTAGAAATGAAAACGGTATATTATAGTTTCATTACGGTTAGATTGTGGGTAAATGTTTAACCGTACACCAATTGTTCGGTTAAATGTCGGAAGGAGTAAAAATGCATAATTAAGCTTAGGTTAACGACCATTGGATTTGTTTTACTGTTTAGTTTGTTGAAGTACGTTTATAGCATGTAAATATAGCAAATCATGAAAGTTGGATCATAAAAGTTAGTCGGGAATTACGGAATCGAATTTTACGGACAATGTAACTCCCGTACTTTGACAGTGTATAACTCACAAACCGTAAGTCAGATTAAGCTTGTATTTTGCTTTCAGGAAGATCATACTGCATACTACAACTTTCATTAAGGGTCAAAATTCCAGTTATGACTCTAAGTGGCTCGAAACAGTGTGTTTTTGGGGCTGTTTACACTATATTTGGGATTAATTTACAGTTTTGTAAAATTCATATAAAATAGACGGATGATTCAAATGAGATGATTTCAAAAGCAATAGACTCGTTTGACACCAATCTACAACTTCCCTTTAGAAAATATAATCTGGATTGGTCTCTAAGTAAGGTAAAAATGCTTAGAAATAAGAGGGACGAAAGCGGTTGGATCGAAAGAGAATAAGGTTAAGTTTTACGTTTGAATTTTCAATTCGTATCCGGCTGTCCTTCTTGAGGTCTACGTTGTTTAAGTATATTAAGACCTAAGTAATTTTATTATATGTGGTTAAGGTACGGATTTCATATCTCACTTGACACGGGGATAGCCATTTGCGTAAGGCTTCCTAATCC